CCGTGGGGAGTAGCGCCACAATTTTTGCCAGTGATTACATTTGCTAAACATTCCTTGTGCTCCGGATTCAATTTCTGGATTGAACCAGACCGGATTACTTTACTATCACATTTTTGCCATTGCCAAACTACAACCTGCCTGTTCGACGCAAACTCTTGACATCACCCACATCTAACTACAACACCTGCCTCCCGCGCTCTCTGATTGGTCGGATGGAATTCAACCGATTGTAATTGCTAACACAGAAACCAGACCCAGACGTTACATTAGGGGTGGGAACCTAAGGGTACCTCACGATACGATACACGATACACGATAACGATATCACGATAACGATTTCATCACAATATGACGATTATCGATATATTGGTCAGAAATATACAATATGCCAATTTATGGCATAAATAAAATAAAAAATACACTTTATTTCATCATAAATGGAATGGAGATGCGTGAAAATATTTGTAACAAAACAAAATCAATATTTTTTCAAAATCGATATTGATACTTTGCAAATGCAGGGAAATGATGATTGAGCGGGGTGTACGGAGGGCTAAGGCCAGGCTAGGTTAAACTGGACTCACCTGAGGAAATGGATAGAGTCTGTGTGCTCCTGCTCAGGTTGGAACTAAAACTGGCAGCCCCCACGGTCTGAACTGAAATGATTCCACATAATGAACATTATCAAAAAGACAGAAACACAGAATAGGATTTCTAAGACGTTCTAATGACTGCATTCATAGTGTAAATAGTTCATCATTCAAATTAAAAAGCTAAAAAAGACTTAAAAATGAGCAGAATGACTAGTGCAGCAAAAATCCCAAGGAATGAAAAGATTATCCCATCGTTGGTGTCTACAAAGCCAAGAGATCAGAGAAACATTGAATTATTACTCACCATAGCTGTGGGAGTAGAAGTTAAAGGACACACAGAGAACACTGATCAACACTGAAAACATCTTCACAACGTGCCAGAAATATGCAACATTCACATAAAAATCATTAAAACAGCTTGAATTGACTTAATTTCATACAGTCACTTTTGAAAATAAAAAAGGGGCAATTATATGTGAAGCCTGCATGGTTTCGTTTGAGGTTGGGTCATGCTAGCTCCTCCATATTAGCTGACATATTCGGTTACTTAGTCTATGATGACAACACATTTTTCTAAAACTTTGTCTAATAACCGGAGTACCGAACTTTGAATTCACAGAAAACCATCTAATTGTCTACTAGTCCCCACTCTCAAACAGTTTGGTTTTGAGAGTGAGGGTACTGCAGCTTTAATTAGATACTGTATATGTTGTACTTAATGTTTAATCTTTTTAGTTTAATTTCCTTTGTTTGTTTTTTTGCTTTGACTTCATGCATCATAACATTTTACTTATTCTATGTTTCGATTCATGCAATGTTGGCTCAGTTGGTAGAGCATTGGCCTTTGAGCCTGAAGGTCGTGGGTTGAGACGTTCTCCACCAACTCCCACTGATGTCTGTTGTCGTTGTGTCCTTGGGCAAGACACTTAACCCGACTTTTCCTGAAGCCCCTACTGAAAGATCAAGGCTACATTGTCACCGACAGCAACCATCCTCCTGTGGACTCACCACCTGCAGGAGGATCAGTGAGGGGCTGGTGCTCTTTGAACAGGGTGGTATCTCTAACTGCCACCCCCCCCCCCCCCCCCCCTCCCTGACCCAGAAATGGATTAAGGGGAAGAAAATGGATGGATGGATGGACTTATATTTCTTTGCAGCACTTTAGAAACTTGCTTTATAAAATGTGCTATATAATTAAAGTCACTTGTCGCCTGTACAAACTTTGATGAATGAATGAATGCAGTAGGCACACATTTCTTCCACTGATGTGATAATTTCTCATATATAAACAGGAAAAGTCTTGGTCAATGCCTCTTCTCAAAAATTGCCAGTTTAATTTGTCTTGACTCAAGAACTGCTTTGCACGAGGCTCCCAAAACATTTTTGATGCTTTTTGGCAATATCCAGTCCTTCTGACATATAACATTCCCACCAAACCTTCTATCTTCAGCTGCTCGGCCAAGACAAGCCCAGAGCAGACACACTGACTCACCCGCTGTCACCGCACTGCCTCGCAATAATATCACTGCGGATTGTCAACGCGGATTACCTTCCACCAACCGTTATGCTATCCCTTCTTTAGAGTACTGTATGTCCCGAGAAGGTCTAATGTAGCACAACTCAAGATTAGAAAATGTTTTATTATATTAATTGAGCGGCTATTTATCCCGTCACGGCTGCCCTGCCTCACATCTATGGGGGACATGCGTGCCTACTGCATCTGTCGTCAATGTCAGAATTTTTGTACAGGTGACAGATTCACATACAGATTTTCAACAAGACATATGATGCGCTACTTTTTCCCAATTCCAAATCATAAGACTGCACTTTAATTAATCAAATGCTAGAGTGGGACATAATATCTCAAGTTCAATATACTGGGGCAACGGCATAAACAGTTGGAAATTAGGAGAAAAAAAAGGCTTAGACATCGGGGGAAAAATATTGGAGGTTGGAATTTAGCAAATTTAGAAACTAACCAGCTGCAAACACATCCATACAATTGTAAAGAACGCAATGTCACCTGAGATATTGCCTAAACTTATTCAGAGGAAATACTAATACCGGACTAAGACAGGAGAGAGTCCCTGATACAGCGTGGATGCCTTATTACTGGCTTCAGGTCTGTTTTTGATGAGGGGACAATGTAACATGATTAAAAGCTCAAAAAAATCAATTTAACACATGTTTCCTTTAATATTAACTTGAACGTGAACATGTATTGATTTATTGATGTCTAATTTTTCCACATGGCTCAAATGCAGAGAATTTCCTCACACTGACAAACTGAACCAGAGAACCAGACTAATGGCTTATAATGTCATTGGTAATTAAAACAAATCAAACCATTAAAACAGACATTAGTCCTTGAAGACAAACATATGGATCCATGTTCACAGGAATTAAACCAATGGATAATTACTGGATTCCTCATTTTTTATCATTCCGAAACCCATAGATGCAACACTCATATGCGGCTGTCAGACTATACAAAGAGTACTAAATGCTGCAAGATGGTATATGTCATGTATCCACTTTATCCATGTATTCTGCTCATTTCCCGCTAACTTATCTGCTGCTACATGTAGACCATTGGTTTTGAACTCCTACTACCCGTAATGTGGAATGCAACACAGGCCTTTCCATTCTGTGAGACCAGCAATAGTAAAAAGATCGACATTGCAAACCCCCGGCTCAAGGAAGCCCAATAGGGAACTGTTCATGAACAAAGTAAACTCCTGCACCTCACTCAACTTCTGTTTCTGTCACACTCATCATGTTGATATTGAATATACAGGGTTTAGCATCACTTCAAACCTTGTGTCTATTGACCCCTTGCATGTTACGTCCCGGCCACGCCCACTCTCCATGACAGTGGAGAGTCTAACTGCGAGCCTACGGACACCTGACCAAAACAACCTGTTTCGGCGCATTACAGCCAAAACTGTGACATTTTGCAGTGCGGTTGATTATACTAACAGGCAAGGACATACGCTTTTTTATCTGATACCTGCTCGTCATGAAGACAGAAGATGACGATGGCCAGCGGCAATCAACAAAAAGGACTGGGACCCATCCAAGTACTCCCTAATATGTAGTGAATACTTTTTACAAGATAAAGCAATCACAAGTTTGTATTTATTTTATTTCCATTAATTTGGAGCACAATGACACATGTGAAACACGTCTCTTACTACTGCCCTGTATGTGCGCTGCAACATTGACATTTTTATCTTTTAAGTCAATTGCGTGTTTCACTATTTTCCTCTCCGTCAGTACGTATCATGTTTGGCTGTAGACAGAAAAGCCACAGAAAAGTGGACTATTGCTAATGCTACCAGCAAAATGTACATAAATCTGCTCCAGTGTGAGGGGATGCATTGTTAACGATAATGATAAAGATCATGTAGGGTGAATTTGGGCAAAAATAGACATTTTATTTAATCGATAAAATTGACTGGGGGGAAAAGGTACGGGTCAACATCCAGTTAGGCGATCCTTAACTTCTCCAAATACCACTCTTTGTGAGCCCTGACCTGATGTCCTACTTCCACCTATAACGTAATCGAACATGTGCTTGAAGCAGCCACTTCTCGATTTAAGAGAGGAAGCTCAGTTTTTAAGAGTTGTAGTCCGTTTTGCTCTCGCAGTAATGCTAGTTTCCAATACTTCTGTTGTAAGCTCATTCACAATCACGTGACTGGATGACGTTGATGCATCTGGTCAATATTGTGAAATTGTCTTTGTAAATCCAAATATGTGTCTTAACAAAGGACTAATCTGGGCCTTTATCCCCACCGCTGTCAGACTGTACAATAAGTCACTTTAAGTAACTATTGCATTAGGACGGGAAAAAAAACCTGCACTGCTTTTGCCACTCTTTCTTTTAGTGCCACTTTTTTACTGTAGATAATTATATCCTGCACAGACTATATTTTTTACCTTTAACATGTTTGCACACTTCTGTCTTTTTGCACAATCTGAGTGATTCTATCTTTGCCAAATGTGACATGTAAATTTCTCCAGTGTGAGATTAATAAAGTCTATCTTATCTTATCATATTTTTCTATCGCCCACATTTGCATCAACTTGGTTCCACATTCCCTCAAGCATCCTGTTCGGGGTAGCTCTGATCAGTCTCTTGCAGATTAAGGCTAACACTATGGGTGACGGCAGCCCAATGATAGTCTAATTTATGTGCTGGACGAATTAAGGATATCTTGTCTTAATCAAGTGAGCTTTATTGGCAAACTTCCGCTCCTGCAATGCATCCAATTGACTGTTAAATCAAGCACTTTTTCCTCTTGGGTTCCATTTTAAAATCTTTTGGCACCTCGGTTCTGCTTCACACCCCTTCTCCTTTTTTCAGCTCTGTTGCTCTGGTCGACAGTTTGATCAGTTTGAGCTTTATGCCTGTGTCTCCAGTACGTCCCAGGGCTCCAAACACATGCGAGAGTGTGGTAATGGAACACTCTTATATAGGCCGATCTGATCCCGCAGGAGGGCTGGGGCAAGCGATTGGGACAACCTAGTCAAGATATGGCTTATTGTCGTTGAAAGGTAATTGTGTTCTTTCAAGCGGCACACAATTTCTAGTTTGGTTTCGGACTAACAACATGATGTATGCAAAGGTATCCAGATACAGGGAGACAAAGCAGAAGTCCTATAGAGAAGCCCTTACTCGAACCAGGGCTAACCTAAAGTAGACATAATATGCACATCAACTTTTGAGCTTTTAGATATTTTACAATATTGTTCCCTCATCAAAAATCAACCTGAAGTTTTTTTGTTGCTCAATCTACGCTAAAATTGGGAACTTCTGCTGCAAACGTGTAGCTCCGGTCCCAGTCATGTAAGAGTCGTTTCCTGCCTAGAAGTTTGAAGACAAAAGTATTGCCTATAAATTTGTTTTGTCAATTTCTTAAGTTAAATCATATCTGAAGATGGTTATTTTCAAAATTCTAGAATAGATTTTTTTTTTTTACTCTAACCGCAACATACTGTATATGTGATTTCTAATGTAGGTCCTCCAGCTGGAATGTGAGGCACGTGTCAGGTTGAGCCATCATATTGCCATTACATACATTTTCTGATGTGGTTATTCAAGGCAAGAGAGCTTTTTTCTCATTTTGTTTGTATCTTAGCCTAAATGCAAAAGAGAAAAGCTACAGGCTGGATCTAACCAAAGTTACAAGTTACAACGCAGGATTGAACTGATGACGAGAATGAATGATCTAAATCCAAACTTTTTAGTTAGAGGGCCACTCTAAATTACCAGACTTGACCTGGGGTAGACAACCTGGATTAAAAAAACTGGATTTGAGCTGGATTGACTGGATTTTATGTGGAATATTGTGACACAATCATAAAACAAATGTAAGTATATAACAATAGAGTCGACAAGTGTCAAAGTGCCTCAATGGCGACTTTGTGTTAGCAGCAGAGGGCCACATAAAATTCCACAGAGGGCCGAAACAGGCGCGCGGGCCTTAGTTTGGACACGCCCGATCTAGTAAGTGATAGTAACATGTACGGCTCCCAGCTTTCCCTTCAGTTCTCTTCTGTATGTCATCCACACCCCCAAGATTTTTATCAAATTTGGAAGAATAGGAAGGCACTCTTGAACGTTGCTCAGATGAAAAATATATATGACAGCTATGCAGATGTTCAGAACCGTCGCTTTGGGGAGGACAAACCGGATATATTTTAGTGGTGACTAAGACTTGTGTTGTCTGACTGAGTTTATTCTATCCCCGTAATGCGGCTATAGCAGTGGAAATGTACTCGGTTGAAAATATTAAAAAAAATATTCTCCATTACAGTGTGTGCTCTATGATCTAGTTTGGTTTGACACTTTTACTGCAAGCTTAATGAGATAATTATCTGATGAAACCTCGAGGCTTTGCTTTCAGGACTTATTTTTTATGTTCCCATGACTCACTGTAGCATAAGCTTGGAAGAAGGATGCTCTGATATGGCATGAAATAGCGTTGTGTTTGACCCCTCTTTTGTGTTTTGGACACTTCCCAAAGTGCAATTTGTCTCCTGCATTTGACCCATCCTACAATGCCACTTTAGGGTCTCCTACAGAGCTCCATATCCAGATATTGATGCTCGACTGGAGCTGGAGGATTTTATCTGGTTTGCCCTAAGTCTAAAACATGAACAACAGAGAAGTCCATAGCTGATACAGGGAGTGTATTGTTGTCTTATCTAGAGATATAGTTCAAGATTTGGAAATGCAGTGGAAAGGTGTGAATGACCTCCATATGACAGTCCACAGGTTCATGACAGAGTGACATTGTCCTCTGCAGAATTAAAAGGATCTAACAAACATTTGTACGTCAGTCAAACGTGAGTTGTTTTTTGGATTTGGCGTTTTTTGAGCAGTTTTAGGGAATTAAAAAAGCAATAACAAACAGCTCCTTAATATACACATTGGAAATATCTCAGAAGTTCCCTGGTTGAATATTGAACCTTCTAATTCCCAGGGGATAATTTGTGGTTGTCGTTGTTGGCACAACTTGATACAAACACCATCGATCCAGCCTGTTCAGATCTGATGCCAACATAGGGCCTAACAAATGATAAGTATTGATTCTGAAACAGCGTGTTTATGTATACATTTTCAAACATTATGACATTGTGACATTGTCTAAGCCATATTCTTATTTCATCACATTTTGTTTTATAGTACACACGTATAATTGTGTGTGTACGTGTGTGTGTGCGTGTGTGTGTGTGTGCTAATACAATAGAACATATTCTCAACTGATATGAGTAAATTAATACTCAAAATTTTTACGATCAATGCCAATAACAGAAAATGTATACATAACAGTTCCAATACTGAAGACCACTTCAATATACACCTAAGGAATTTTGGGACAAACGCTCAATTTTAATTTTGCTGCAACAAACCTCGCAGTGAGCTCAGCGTGCTTCTGCTTTGGTTTTTCAAATCGGAGGCTTTCACTGTAATTAAAAATGCTCTTGCACTTTTTTGCATGTGGACGAAGTGCAAAACCCTGCAGCTTTTACCTATAATCTGTCAAATTCTTTACGGTAAATACGGCAGAGGCCCTTTTATCTATTTGACCTGCATTAAACGGCCAAACATAGCAATCCCCTAACCTTTCCCCCACGCACGCTCAGGCATGCACAGATTTAAACGTGGTGATCAAAGATTAAAAATGGTGGAGCTATTACAGTGATGACAGGGAAAACAGTGTCTTCTGCTTGTAGATGCAGTAAAACCAGAAAATCCCTCTGCTTTAATCACTACGGCGTTTGAATGTGTGTTTGTGTGTGTGTGTGTGTGTGTGTGTGTGCATGTGTGTTGCCATGTTGGAATACTTCATTATTTTAGTCTTTCATGCTTGCCTGGTAATTGCTGATTTCTATGAGTGATTACAGTGACGTCTGTTTATCTAATCTACTCAGCGAACAATGCATGTGCCTAAAACTCATATGTTGTTGTGCATAAATACATCATGCTTTAGTCAATCCCTTGCATAGAAACTTACCTGAATCCAGAATAATCAATTATAATCAGTTTTTGTGTATCACTTCTATAAAAGCATTACTATAAAAGCAGTCATCTCAGTGGACTTTACAAAGTTGTTGATTCGCCAACAACAGATCAGAGAACCAAACCGTTCAAACACAGGAAATGCAATAATAACACATAGGAGCCATTGGTCGATAGGGGGTGAATGACCAATGTCCTGTTTTGAAGAAAGGTGAAAGAAATGTAGCTGGACTTAGCTCTTGCTCTTGGGTTCGAATCCTGGTCAGAACAGGGTCTTTATGAGTGGAGTTTGCATATTCTCCCCGTGTCTGCGAAGGTTTCCTCCGGGTGCTCCAGTTTCCCCTACCACTAAAAACATGCACAATAGATACGAATGTAATGAGAGAGTGAATGGATGGTGTTGATTGGGGGCTGATGGTCCAGTGTGTTCGGCGTCTCGCTTCCGTCATCACCGTGTGTGGAATGATTGGAACAATATCTGAACTCTGAACATTGTAAAGCGCTTTGGGTGACCATGGTCTGTAAAATATGCCCTATAAGTAAACATTACTTACTTACTTACTTACTTGTTGACTGGCAACGCAAACAAGAGCTTAATTCTGCTCTGATTGTATTATTTACGGGAAAATTGCCTATTGTATATTTATTATCATGTATCTTTAAACTTTGATTCATAGACGGTTTTATATGATTTGTGCATGTTTACCTATTATCTAGGGACACATTTTAAAGATGTAGGTTTAAAATGCATGCTGTCCCTTTAATTAATTGGTGAGCGAGGAGATCATTCATGACTTTCTGGTTTTTGCTTGTTATTATCATTTATTGAATGAAATGCATTGTACTGTAAGTCAATTTGCAAACAAAACATGAGGGTTTTCCAAGCTGTGAGCCAATCATCTATAAACAAGTAACTTTGCATGTACTGTGTCCGTCATAGTCTGTACATGTGAATTTGAGTCCATTCTTGGGGCAGCTAGATTAAAATGGTTGTGCAGGGATCACCCATCTGTACTGGAGTCATTCCTAGCCTATCCTCAAATCTCATAAATGATGTGCATATTTTAGACTGAAGTTGATCCAACTTTCATTGCCCCGGGTAACCATCAGTAAGACTGCTGATTATTAATGCTAGACATGTTCTAAAGCTCTAATTATGCCTGATACCCTGCTTGTGGTTCCTGCACTTTACATTCTATGCGGTCATCCAGCAAAGTTGAAGTTAAAGTTGTAGTAAAGTAAAATAATCATCCATGCGAGAAGAGGCCAAAAAAACTGTATTTAACTGTCGACACATGCCTTCCTCAAATCATTGGACTAAACGATAATGAAACTAATTGAAGCCACTAATGAAAGTGCAATACAGGAGGATTTTGTTTTTGATTATTAGTTTTCATTGAAAAGCTTGCACAAAGAAAAGTAATATGTATAATTATATATATAATTATAATTTTACACAAAACCCCACCACTTTGGCAAAGAACATTTACAAGCAATACTAATTGAGGCCCAGATGCATTTTTTTAATCCATATTGAACAATAAATGATTTACTAATTACTGTGACAAGCAAACATTTCACAAATCAATTCTCTAGGTATTTACAAATGCTTAATTGAACACTTTTTCGCATCCAGCCTGGTTTGGGACACTCACACATTAAAAGGATCTCAATAAGGTCATTGTAATCTGTAGCAAAAGCATTGGTTAGCAGCAAGACTCTCTCACGTTCATCTATTTTTACAGTTGTGAGGAAAAGTTCACAGATGTAAAGACAGCTCGCACTCTCACGCACTCCACAGTCTGCTTCCATCAGGGCGCATAAGTACAGGTCCCTCCCATTCAGGACAAAGAGGGCCACATCCAGTTTCTCTCCTTCCTCAATCTCCATTTTAAACAGTGAAGAAGATGACATATCTGGGATTGTGTCTTAAATTCAGACAGAAGACATGTTTTATTGTCGATGGTAGAGACAGCACGAACAACACAAACAACAGAATGCAAGTGTATTATACAGAGCGGAGGCATGGAGACCTCCAATCAGCAGCTGCCACGGTGCCATGTAGCTTGGCCTTCAGATAGACAAAACAAGGGAAAAGTACTGGCTTCTGCACATTGATAGAATGATGAGTTTAACTTTAACAAAAGTTGCTTCAAAGTGTTATGAAATCTCACATTCCCCCCTCTGGTCACACATTCACGTGTGACCATCAGGATCGATAAACAGCAACATAACATCATATCTCAATACTTCAAAAACCCATAAACTCGGTACTTCACTCGGTACTTCAAAAAACTCAGAACTCGGAATACTTCAAAAACTCAGAAAACTCATAAAACATGTACAGATCTTTCATAAAACTTGTCAACAATCTTCAGTAAAATACCAAACTTCATCAGTCGATGGTGGTTCCAGATATTGCTTTGAAAACAGTCTCTCCCACTTCTCCGTGTTGATTCCTTCAGGCTGCATTTGTGTCGAGCAATGAATTCTTCTGTGACGTGTCTTTCAATCACACGTTTCAGCTTTAGTGTCCAGATTCAGCAATTCAATTCAGTCCAAATTATTTCCAAATTCAGAAATCCAATTGTTCCAAATGGTGTCCATGCAAAAGAGGACGATGGTATTGTCCATGTCTCAGCAGCTCACAGCAGGCCTGACTGGAATCAGGGGCTGTGCAGATTGTCCAAGTGTGCTGATCCAGATGCATTCTCTTGAGGTTTTTCAGTTTTGGCTTGAAAAAAAAAACACTTTTTGTGTAAAAAAAAAAGTAGTCTTCTGTTCTGTAGATGTTACAGACAAGGCCCGCATCCTCCACCACCTGAAGAAGATTACATGTCTGGGATCGTGTCTTAAATTCAGACAGAAGACATGTTTTATTGTCAATGGTAGAGACAGCACGAACAACAGATACAACAGAATTTTTATGTAGCTACAGAAACACCATCACATTACATATGAACAGAGGACAGTTTAATTATAAATACACATTTCCAACACTACTAATCCCAATAATTTGTGTAGTATACAACCACATGTCACAAGATTGATAGAGGTATATCTTGCTGTCACACTGTTGTGTTCTGAAATGTTGTTACCTCTGACTTTCCAATATTTTGATTTTAGAACCCTTGTTTGAATAGTAATTTAAAATAAATGCATAGATAACCAGGGACTTTGCACCATAGCCTCAGATGTAGAGCAAAACAAAAATTATGATTCTGAAAAGCACAAGGTAAAACAAAGACCAGAAACCACTGTTGCAACATGGTACATTTTATACAAATACAATTACTCTGACATGTGTGGCCAACACTTTTTTCTATTGATTACATTTATTACATGCTACCAAAGGCGCTTTTTTGTTGGTGCAATCAAAATGTGTGAAGTCGCTGCACATACAACACTGCACCTATCCAAAATAAGTAAACTTTAGTCATTCCAGAAACACATGCTGTAGTAGTCCATAAGAGGAAAATACCTTTTCATCTCCACTTAAGTGGAAACAACACACACCACAGTAGTCATCTTCACCTACAAATAAACACAATGTTTCAGTCTCAGTTTTGTTGATTAACCCAGGTATAACATTTCAAAAGTAAGGACGATAATAACCTTTAAAATAAAAATGCCACAACTAGAGGTGTCAATTTGTAGCTGGTGCTTGAGCACACTCCCAGTCCATTGACCACTGCCTCTATTCGCCTGCCTCAGAAACTTCCTAAAGTGAGATGAACAGTTACAAAACAAGTCTCATGATAACTTTTCAGATAGGACAAACCTCCAGTTTTTGAGGATGTTTGTTTTGTAAAGGGCCTCGTTTCCCATGGGGTCAATGAGCAATACTGATTTATCCTCCATGAGGACGACCACTAACACCCAGTGGCCTCCAGTCTTTATGCGGCAGATCCAGTGAGCCTCTTCTGGAAATTTCATCTATAAAAAAGTGGAACCAAAAAGTGTTATTGTCTTTGTAACCATATGGGTATGCAAGGAATATTTGACCCACGGAAATTGGAACTTCCTTTGTAAGTGGTTTCATTTGTCCACGCACAGAGGCTTGTGCCCACAACAGCCGAGAGCTGGTGAACAGGTTTCTGCTGAAACAAGCCAATGTAAAGGACACATGTCACCTCTACTTTGTTCACCAGCACACGTAGATCGGAATCAATGACCTGCATTAGAGAAAAACATAATAATACCTATCAGGTCAGAACTTTGTACAATTACAACCTTCCTCCTCAATGCTGGCTTTTTTTACACATGCGTCATGTGACTGCTGGAGGATGATTATTTAAACAAACTTTTTTATGCAGAAAAACATTTATGGGAACTGAGTGTTAAGATTTAGTAAAGACATGAACATCTGACAATTTAAAAATGTACTTTTTAAATGATAATATGTTTGTGTCTTTCTACTGGCCTTGTTTTGTGGTGAAGGAGCGAACTGAATCACTGAGCCTTGTTGGACACTTTCTTGCCTCTTTATGTTGTGGTTGGTCTTTTTGTCCAATCCATCAGTCTGTGGGTGGTACGCAGCGGTGACGCTTCTCTCAATGCCCAGCAGAGAACACAGAGTAACATTGAGCTGAAACAATGAAAATAAAATGAATAAGAAAGTATGAACAAGAAGTACACAAACAATATTTACTTAATTTACAAATTCCCGCCCTTGATCAGACAGGATACATTTTGGGCACCCCTGTATATTATAAAGCAAAGTCTTTGCCCAACCTCCGCAGCCGTCTTAGTTTTTAAATGGGAAAGCCTCTACCTACTTTGAAAAATAATCCGTGGCTGTAAATATGTACTGATAGCCATCAGTAGTTTTGGGGAAGGGCCCCAACAGCTCCCAAACAGCAGACACCTAACAAGCAAACAGGATTTGAATGCATTAATGTACACTGCTGGTTGGATAGGAACAATAAATACAATTACTTTTATTGTTTGGAGTGGTGCAACTGAACCCAGAGACTTTCCCTCACGTTGACATTGGTCACACTCATAAATCTTAAAAAGAACAGACAGGGAAGGGAATTGTACAGACAAATAAAAGGAAAAAACATACCATATTGTCAATCATCAGTCCTGCCACGAGAGTAAAACCTGGAACAAATGGCAGGTTTTGTTCATGCCAGTGTGGCCTCCCGTGGGTGTAGCATGAAACTCTTTTAAATAGTTTCTGTGCCTCGTGTCTTGTTTTAATGGCTCTTCTTTTGTCATGGAACAGCTCACCATCTATAACAACTGAATTATAATAAAACAACAGAAGAACAATAAGACATGTATAACCATAATAGCAAATGCATTATTACCCTTTGCAGTAAATTTATGGGAGTACTTCCTCAAGTTCTGTCTGTCTGAAATGTATTCATTCCCTCAGGATAAATCTTCTCTGTGAGGAGAAGAAACATTTCATCCCATTTATCCTCCATTATGATTATGAAAGACAAAATCTTGGTCAGGTGGACAGGCAAGGGTCAAAAAACGGTGTATCAATCAGTGTGGCATACAAATCAGAGGGGAGGAGACAAAGATTGTGGTCAGGTGGAAATGCAGGAGTGAAAAAACAGTATCAATCAAAAGCAGATGTGAAAACGGGGAAGTGGACAAAAATGGGAGGGCAAGAAAGAGGATCAAGGATGGCTCTGGGGAGAAAAAGAGAAGATGTTGTTAAATGACCACCAAATAATAATTAAAAGCTGATCAAACATCCACACAAAAATATCTAATTTAAAAAAGATGGAAATCTCTGACTTTGTATTAATATTGACTTCCTTTCACCATTAGATATCAACAGAAAAGATACTATGGAAGAGGATTAGTGATGAGGCTACATCCATGTGAAACAACACACATACATGAAACGTAATTTATCTTTTTTACTAGTGTGAGATTTCATAACACTTTTAAGTAACTTTTGTTAAAGTTAAACTCATCATTCTATCAATGTGCAGAAGCCTGTACTTTTCCACTACTTGTTTTGACTATCTCTGCTGTACTGTGGCAGCTGCTGAATGGAGGTCTCTGTTTCTCCTGAGTATATTATCATTTGCTGTCTTTAACATCCTTTGTTCGTGTTGTCTCTACCATCGACAATAAAGCATGTCTTCTGTCTGAATGAAAGACGCGATCCCAGACTTTATCATCTTCTTCACGAGTACATAATGTTACCATCTCTCCACGAGCAAATATTAGAAAATCAATACATTTCGGGAGGGATTATGACCGCGTATTCATTCATACGTTACGCGTGTACGTAAAATGTATCCCCATAATGTAATTTCAAACCCAGGAGTATGGTACAAAGTTGAAAAAGTAATATAATATTCTGTATAGGATTTGGTAGAGTCAGTGAGGTCAGTGAAGTCAACGCGCTCGGTTGCAAACTTTATAATACGTTATACTAATACAAATATATGCCCTTTGTAATGGAGAGCCATACTCACGTGAGTTTTCAGCTTCGGTGAAGAGAAAACAAAGCTGTGGAGTTGCTATAGTATGCGTCATCGGCCTGCGTCCGCAGCCGAGGACTGCTATAATAACATTAGCATTGTAGTTTCACAGGCAGAGTTGACTGCTTAAACTAAACTTTACACGAAACTTTGACTCTTAAAACCCACATGTGACAACGCGGAACCATCAACATCTCGCCTCAAATTGCATTAAAAGTGACATTCGTGTCTTATTTTGTTCGTATTATAACTTTTAAAGCAATTCTCGGACTTTCTGTCCGCCATCTTGGTTTGTTTCGGCTGCCGTGAGACGCGCATGCGCAGGTTTGCATTACATCATTAACAGCTGAGCATTACATAAGCGTCACAACTCGGCAGAGCGGCACAACTCGGCAGAACACCGGCTCTCCCCCGCGGGTGCCCGTCGGCGACCCGTGGTTGGCGAGCGGCTGGCGGGACTGCGGCCCGGTCCCGGGACTGAGAACGAGACACGGGAGCCAGGCGCGGCGGGTGAGAGCCCCGTGGTCTGGCGGCCCAGGCCGCGGGGACGCATTTTAGCCTGTTTTAGCCTCTGTTTTAGCTTTTTAGCCCTTTTTTTAGCTTAGGCTTTTATTGCTTTCATTTACTTGTTTTTAATGTATTTTATAATAAATTGCTTTTAATTCGGTTTTAATCCAGTGGTCCTTTTTAAATCCGGGTCCGAAGAACCTGTTTTTAGCCCTGTGACACACACATGCATACTTACATACAAACACACACATACATTCACACAAATACATACTTACATTGATACATACCTTAAAAACCTGGTCTGGACCCGATTCTCAGGACTTATTTCATTGATGACTTCTTTGTAATTACATTTAAAACTATTGTATAATCTAGATTGTAAGGTCATCATACTGGAGAACGGACAATTAGAGACTGAGGTCTTCAGAAAGTCCACTCACACTGACCAGTACCTGGCCTTTGATTCAAATCATCCGCTCGGGGTCATTAGAACGCTTCAACACCGAGCCCACCAGGTCCCCACTAGCTCGGAGGGAAAGAACAGAGAAACCAAACATGTTCAGAGAGCACTTTCCAGATGTGGCTACCCCAAGTGGTCTTTTACTAAAGCCCAAAGGACGAGAAAGGCCAGAGACACAGTCCAACAGAAAGAAGAAAGTAGGAGGAGAGGGGTGTCCTTACCGTATGTGGCGGGAGTTTCAGAGAAACTACAAAGAATCTTTAGGCAACACAAAATCCCTGTGTATTTCAAACCTTTCAACACGTTAAGACAGAAATTAGTGCATCCCAAAGACAAAACACCCAGACACAAACAGAGCAATGTGGTGTATTCAATTAAATGTAGTGAAGAGGAGTGCACTGACCACTATATTGGAGAAACCAAACAAACTCTACAGAAACGACTTTACCAACATCGTAGAGATAACTCTAGTCGGCCACAGTCGGCTGTTCATCTCCACCTCAAGGCCTCCAACCACACGGTGGATGACACAGAGGTTAAAATTCTGGCTCGGGAGAAGAATTGGTTTGAGAGAGGGGTGAAAGAAGCCATTTTTGTGAGGAAACAAAAACCTTCTCTTAACAGAGGAGGAGGGTTATGGTGCGTTCAGACCAAACGCGATTTCTGCGGCCAAAGCGGCGGGTCTACATTGACACAACATGGGGGACGCGCGCCAAGGAGCGGCGAGAGATCACGCGGCGCGATTCGCGCGGCCAGAGCGGCGCGAATTCGAGCGTTTCGCGCGATTCGCGCGGCGTGTTTTGAGATGTCAAGCGTTTTGACGCGCGTTTCGCGCGATTCGTGCCTCCAACGCGGCCGCCGCTAGAGTTGAACAATGTTGAACTTTTTGGGAGAATTCGCGTGTGCCGACCAATCAGGAGCTTTCTCCTCCAGTGACGTAGTGACGCCATTTCACTACCGGAAAAACACTGGTAGATGACAGCTATGGAGGACACGTCAATTGCTCAGGTCGGTGCTCATTCTGAGCTATATAACACTGCGGACATGCACAGCTACCGGGACCGAAATAAAAAGGAGCTTGCTTGGGGAAGTTCCATCGGACCTCCACTCCTTGCTCCAGGCAGGAACTCCTCCACGAGGCAGTCCCAGATGGCTGCCACCACATCTGGGATGAGCATGGAGACGGTGGATATGCCCGCTCTGAAGCTCCCCGCAATGGTCCTGTAGGAGTCCCCAGTGGCAAGAAACCTGCAATTACAAAATGATATGAACATATTTATCACAATTACATTCATAAAAATCACGTGACAAAACTTGTGTAGCATAAAATACGTTAAACTAGTAGACAGTAAACATCATAGACAGTAATCATAGACACCAAATTGTTGCATAATACTGTTTTCTGAGCAATTACATTGTGGATTGTGATTGAAAAATGACACACTTTGTAAGTATTTTGGAATTCCGAATGGGGTAAAAAACACTAACCACAGACAGATGGACAGGCGCTCTTCAGCTGGAATAGAGTTGGTGTCCTGGTAGGAGATCCTAGCGCCAATGCGGGTCAGTAGGTCGTCAAACTGGGCCAGGGAGAGACGAAAGTACCGCTGAAAGCGACCCTCATCCGAGCGCAGCTCCCGGAGCAAATGGTGAAACTCACCAAACTCCAACCGTCTACGGACTATCTGATGAATCCAGACACGTCGTCGATTCGCCCTTTGACGACGTGTCTGGCTTTATTTATCAGATAAAGCAACTCCTTCGCTGACATCCATTTTGGGAAGCTACAGGCAAAAGAGACAAGCCCCGCCCCTAAACGCTCTCAACGCTCTGTGACAGCGGCTGCCCTCTAGTGTCCTGGCCGCGCGGCCAAGTTTCTCTGTCACAAGCGGCTCAAGCCGCGCGATAGACGCGATTTGGCCGCAGAAATCGCGTTTGGTCTGAACGCACCATTAAGATTTGTTTTGCCTCGCATCTATGACGACATCCTAAAAACAACGCCCTAACTTGGGACAAGGTCAGTGACATGCTAATGAGTTAGGAGGGGTGAGACCTACACTCCACTTGAGCATCCCAGCAGACAATAGGTCTGTGACATGCTAAGGAGTTAGGGTCGTTAGCCTCAGCAGGGTCGTTAGATCTGCTCCCTTCTACATCTAGCAGACCTTAGATTGTTTATGAGTTAGTATCAGGATTAGGGTGTGGCTAACCACACCCATAGGTTATAAATCTCCGACGTGCGGTCCGAGAATTCATTCCCTGAAGAAGTCCGCTAGTTTGAGGACGAAACGTCGGGAAAACTTGCGAAGAAGTACAGATGATGGGTGAGAAACCTTCCTTTGCTTTGACTAATCCCCGTATGACTGAGGGCTTACACAAACTTATTGTATAACACTTTCTGTTCACAAATTTAGTTTTGTTAAATTATAGCCGTTGTGGCCTTTGAAAGAAACGCTTCCCTCTTGTCCATCAGGTTAATCCGTGGAACAAGTGTTTGGGTGGATCTCTATCATACAGGGGTCTTACACTGAGCTGCTCATCAAACAGGACCACGATTGTAATTTGGTTCAAATGAAAACTCACTTTAAGGATGATTGAATGAAATGAGGCCTAATGGAAGAAGCCTTCAGCTAAACTCAGCACTCCAAAAGGTAATGGGTCCTAGGCACTTAACTTCAAACTATCAAAAAACAGTCATCTCAAAAAGGATTTTAGTATTCACAATGGGTTAGACTTCACCAAGGGTCTCCAACCTTTCTCAAATCAAGAGCTACTTTCACAAACGAGAATTTGCCTTTGTGTGGTCATAATAAAAATGTAGTCTATACAGAAAATCATAGAAAACCCTTGCATGAAAATAACACAATTCTAACAGTATATTTCTGCACATATAAGGCTAAGGTAAACATGTAAAGGGGAAAGTGTATGTATAGGTTATTTATATATATCTCCAGACAAAAAGGCCCTATCTGGAGTAATCGAACCCAGGTCCAAAACCACGGCACCACCATGCTAAGCTTATGAAAGTGAATATATATAGTTTTGAACAAGCAATATGTAACATGTGGTAATCAATATAGATAATATGTTGACATCCCACTATAACACATTTCCTGACAGTATTTCTGTATATCTATGCTGTCTTATTTGAAACCTGCGACTGCATAAGCTCAACAGGACAGCAGCAAGACATCTAATCAAATGCTCTGGTCCGTGGTATATGGCTCCTCTGTTTATTGTCCTTCCTGTGTACATAAGACGACAGCTGCTTTGATTGACATGTCACTGGTTTTGATGGACTCCTCCTTGGTTCCGCCCTCATCATACAATATTTCACTGCAGATGTCACCCATCCCAATGACACACAGGACCTCGTGGATAAACGCAATCCCCATAGTGAGTGTGACAGAAGATTTTCTGGCTTTATCTCCTTTGGACTGGATATGTGTAAATGTGATATATTCAGTTAGTGTGGGAGATAACGCACACACTGTAGCCATGACATTGAAATAATTGAATGCAAAAGTCAATATTATATAAAGATCTATATGCACAAAAGGAGGGTTTAACATGTAGTTACTATAGACTGTATAAAGATTGATAGTGGTAAGCCGCTAGCTCAATGAAGTGCAATGGGGAAGTGCTCACGGATGAAGTTTTGCTGCATCTTGCTCTGGTTCCTATTGACTTACATTGAAAAGTAAAATCCTCTCACTCAATCCGGCTACAAAGCCACAATCCAGGGAGGCGTGTTCATTAAGATATACTGTCCAAACCAAATAGAAAATCAAAATAAACCTTTAAGGTGACATCGGCACTAGTAAAGTCCACTCCTAACAGTATGCGATAGTTACAAGATGCCTGCTGTTCCCAAAGTAATGTCACTCATAGATATAGGCCACAGACATATTGAGAGAAATTTCAGAGCCTAATAAAAATAGTCCATCCATCCATTTTCTCCATTTCTGGGTCGGAGGAAGGTGGCAATCAGAGCTGCACCCAGTACACAGAGCACCAGCCCCTAATAAAGATAGTAATAAATGATAATGATCCACAATTATTCATGTTTATCATTTCAAAACGTTTATTACATGGTGTGTCATGATATTCTTGGAGCCAGGGCAGGTTTCACAGAACTGCTGTAATGTGCTCCCGTTTCTCAATCTTAGTCAGCCGATGAGCTGTAGCCTTCTCATCATGTAGAAGTGCTTTGCAGGCGATCTGCTACAACCTGAGTTGCTGTAAACCTAATGCGATGTAACAAATGCATGGATTGCTTTATAGAAATGTTCCGCTATAAGGTAGAACTTTGTATTTGTGCAACCAATCTATGTTGAAAGAGAAACAGAACAGAGCATATGTGAATAAACTGAGAATGGATTTCCAATCGTGTCACAGATTAACTCGATGGCACCATCTTGTGGTGAGTGCATCAAGTGTTAGAAGAAGAAGAAGGTCCTTTATTCGTCCCGCAATGGGGATATTTCAGTTTGATGCATATACATACACATATACATATATACATATACACATCACTTCCGCGCTCCTTATAGGCAAAGTGGGTTAAAGCTGCACTAACTGACTTTGGGATTTTGAAGCCGCGGACTCGCTGGCCTCGCTCTTTCTGCTCCCCTCCCCGCACCCACGAAGCTATCGCCCCACACACACTCACTGTTGGGACGGAGCTAGTGTCTCCCAATATGGATAATACATGAATATGGATTTGCACGTGGATGGCGTGACCATAAAACGATAGAACCGGGAACCGGAGGAACAGGACTTTCTTTTGGATGGCTGTTTCGCTAAGTCAGCAGTAACCGGTGATGAAGACACGAAGCTTCAGGTTAGCTCCTCGGCTTGTTGTGCTAACTCAGCTGTCTGTGCTAACGGACCTGTAGATTTCTCACAAAAGTGGGGGCTATTGGTCCGCTGTGATTGGTCACAATCTGCGACCCGAAACACATTCTCTTCCTTGTTTCATCAAAACTCGATCTAAAATATAATGTCACGCCAGCACAAATCTGCGCTAATTATTCTTCAAAAGGACGTATATCCCAATGCACTACATGGACATGGATAGCATTTTTGTAATGAATACGAAAATAAAGCCAGTTAGTGCAGCTTTAACCCTTGTATTATGTTAAGGGTCAATTTGACCCATTTCAGTTTTTGTGTTGATCAAAGTACTGGTTATCCTTTCTTTTTCTTCCTGAAATTTGGTGAATTTTCCTCATCTAGGGTCATGAACTGGTGTGTAAAATCTGGACACTTTGATGTGTAGTGGAATGTCTGTGCAGAGTTTGTATACAAAGATGATGTTGGGGGTCATTTTGACCCTGACGCTTTAATGTGGGTAAATAGTTGTTCAGATCCAAAAAAACATGTCTCTTTGACATTTTATTTTGATTACCTCTGAGAGCCAGGTGTGTGAAGAGAGGGAACTTTCTCACACTTGTCCTTGTCACTGTTCTCATGTCATCTCTTTTGCCTAGCGTACATCGTACTGGCAACTGAATATATCCGTCGCCTTTGAGTTGCTGCCCTGCACACAGCGACAATCTGGCGAAAACGGGAAACTCCCAGTAGCAGACCAGTCTCGGGAATAACAGCGCGTACATCGACAGCAACTGGCCTCACCTACAGTGTGTTTTCTGGCATAAACTGTAGAGGGCGCAATACACACAATACACACGTTGTTGGAGCGCGCCACGGAGCGTGCACATCGGGTGATATCTCCGGATCTGAGGACAACTAGTTGCCGAAAAGTAGAACACGGGCAACTGACTGAATCCGGAGATCGACTGTTTATCTCCAGTTGTAAGAGCGCTCACATCGACCAATATTGGCAACTGATCATCTCCCATCATCTACTCTCAGTTGCCAAAAGCCGTCTTGCAACTAGTTAGGCAATGCTAGGCCCTAGACAAACTCACCAAAAATTAGCTCCAGAAGGATGACATCTGAGGAGGCTTTATCACAGATTTTTAACTGGGATAATGATGTAGAGGAAGAGATTTCAGAAACAGAGGATTTTTCAGATACAGGACAATGTTATAGCTTTCTTACGATAAGGAAGATTCAGAGGACGAATCTTTGGCCAAGTAAAGAGGAAGGGAGGAAGGAAGGAAGGTAGGAAGGAAAGAAGGGAGAAAGGAAGGAAGGAAGGAAAAGAAAAGAAGGGAATAGAGAAGGAAAACAGGATGAGAAAAAGGAAGGAGAAAGCGTGGCAGGAGGAAAGAGGGAGGGAAGAATTGTCATTTTGACCCGAGAGGAGGACAAGAAGATTAGACTAAATATTTCTTAAATATATCGTTGGAATAAAAAATGTATTGTATGTCACTTTTCTAAATATTTATATAACCTAAAATAAAGTTGTTATTGGTTTAACCTGTTTTCTTGACTGTTTTGAGTGCATTTACACAGTACGCGTCAAAATGACCCGCAACATAATCAATGTAATTTTTTTTCAACATAATACAAGGGTTAAGTGTCTTCCCCAAGGACACAACGACAGCAGACATCAGTGGGAGTCAGTGGAGAAGGTCTCGCGGTGGACTCAAACCCACAACCCTCTGGCTCAAAGGCCAATGCTCTACCAAATGAGCCACTGTCCCCCCGTTAGCGATGGAATGTGGCACAACAGACCACGATTACTGTTACAAGTTGATCCTGGACTCATAACCCATACCCTCTAGGGCGATAGTGGCTCAGTTGGTAGAGCATTGGCCTTTGAGCCTGGCGGTTGTGGGTTCAAGCCACCTACAAGACTTTCTCCACCGACTCCCACCGATGTCTGCTGTAGCTGTGGGCAAGACACTTAACCTTATTTGTGGTCATACTTGCACGCGAAAGCCTGATCCTATCAGACCTTAAAGCTGTGCCGGGCAGGGCCTGTTTAGTGCTGTCATGGGAGACCTTTGAGAATACCAGGTGTCACAGTGGGGTGGCTGTTAGGCAAGATGCTTCACCCACATAGAATGCATATGGTTGGTGGTGGTCGGAGGGGCCGATGGCACATACTGGTTGCCTCGCTTTTTTCAGTGTGCCCCAGGGCAGCTGTGGCTACAGTAGTAGTTTATCACCACTGTGTATGGAGTGGATGAATAATGACATGTGAAGCGTCTTTGAGCGTCCAAAAAAGAACCAATGCATTATTATTATTATTATTATTATTATCTTATCCTATTCTTATCCCAAACAATCAATTTTGATCTCAGAGACAATATTTGTAAATCCCAAATATTGTGATTGATCAGAGACTGAAGCTATGGCTGGTAAGAATACTCAGAGAGGGCTTTTATCCTGAACTCACAAAAGACAATCTAAAGTGTGCCCCGGACATTCTATCTAAAGTAAATGGCTAAATAACATACTGATAAAGTAGTAGAATTGTATACCCATGTATTGCTAAATAATTCATGTTAAGAGATAATTAAAATATTAACTCACTATACTATATTATGGAATGGTCAAGGTTTAGGTTCAAGATCGGTTTCCTCCCCTGTTATTAGACTGGTTGTGGCCTACTTAAGTCTGTTGAAACATAGCCGGTACTCAAGAGCTGCTGGATTTATAGGACAGCCATGAGTGTTGTCTAAATTGGCTTGTAATGACAAACATCTCACTGGTCACTGTCTTTTCAATTACAAAACAAAATCTCAAATGTTTCCAGACTTCAAATTGACCTGTCTTTCCCACTTATGTCAACATTTCAGAACTGACCCAGAACTGGATGGGATGAGAAAAAAAAAGATTGCGGGTTAATTAAAACATGATGGTGTCTTGATCGGGGAGGATTGAATCAGAAAGTATTGTGTTATTTTGATCGCAGTCATTCTGAGGACGGAGGACCACAAGGTATGAGGTGACCTTATAAAGTCAGCTATTCCTGGGAAAATATTGCCTTCGTCGGTGAAGGGCAGAGTTCAAGGTACCTGAGTATCATTTCTTCACAATAACAGCTGCCAGTGGTTTGAACATTGATACTGTTGAGGTAAATACAGCATTCTGAATGGACCTAAAGGACATCACAAAATGGAAAATCTATGTTTTTTGTGCTTTTATTTATATTACATTGTCTCTCTTCAGAAACACACCGAGAGATGTTTTTTTAGATCCATCCATGCAGTTTTCTGAATATTGGTTTTGAGAATGTCTTAGGTGAAATACATTAACGTGTTTTAAGCCGTTAATTTACAGAATGAAAAAAAGATAAAAATAATGATTTACCCTCCATACTTCTAAAAAGCATTTTATTTCACACTTTAATGTAAAATTACAAATAAAAGAGTGTCATGAAATGTTTAATGGTCAATAAAAAAGCCAAATATGTCTAATTCCTTGGCTGTCCAGATATAAGGACACGACAGAATTGAAATACATGGAAGTTCACATT